CCCCCAACCCGCTCCGGCCAGGCCCTCTCCGGGTCTGCACGGCCGGGCCCGAGGACGCTGCAGCCGCCGCTCCCCGGACGCTGCCCGCTGCGACGGAACACTAGGGCGTCGAAGCTGGGGCTGCGTGCAGCCTGCTCCTCAGCCCGCGCGGCCGGCGGCTCACCTCGCGGCGGGGATCCAGAACCCTCGCTCCAGGCGCCCCACAAGCCCGGCCTCCGCGGACAATCGCAGCGAAAACCGAAACCGCCGAGGCGGCGGCGCTTTTCTGCCTCAGCCAATCATTGCTTTCCACGGCTACGGCAGCCCGCGGGGACCAAAAAGGCCGGACTGCGCTAGAGCGCGCAAACCCAAGAATTCTGGTTTGTCTAATGGCGAGATTGGTGTAGTAGGGTTAAGTAGACAGCGCTGGTGTTCTCTCTTTTAACAGAAAGCCGAATACAAACACAAAACATAAATCTAACACACTGGAAGTGACCTTTGGGGACGGATTTCTTTGCAGAAGTTTAAGAAATAACTTGAAGTCATAGGAAACTGGATTTACTACTAAAGTAATAACTGTGCGTACCCAGAAATATCCTTGAATAATTTAAAGCAAATAAATAAAGCAAACCGCCTCAAGTCTTTAAATGCACCTTTGGATATTGACTAAATATGGAAAGACTAAGTCATTTTTAGCAAGACATTGTTTCCATGGCAACGTTTTTTTGTTTTTTGGGTTTTTTGGTGGCTGGCCGGTATGGGGATCTGAACCCTTGACCTTGGCGTTGTAAGACTGTGCTTCAACCAACTGATCTAACTGGCCAGCCCCCGATGGATGGCAATGTTAATTGATTAAAAAAAATAATAATGAAAAATCACTAAAGTAACTCCGAATCATAATGACATTAACTGCATTACATTACAAGGNTGGAAAGACTAAGTCATTTTTAGCAAGACATTGTTTCCATGGCAACGTTTTTTTGTTTTTTTGTTTTTTTGGTGGCTGGCCGGTATGGGGATCTGAACCCTTGACCTTGGCGTTGTAAGACTGTGCTTCAACCAACTGATCTAACTGGCCAGTCCCCGATGGATGGCAATGTTAATTGATTAAAAAAAAAAAATGAAAAATCACTAAAGTAACTCCGAATCATAATGACATTAACTGCATTACATTACAAGGCTAGTTCCAATTGTAAATGGTGTGCAGACAGTATTTAAGAGCTGCTAATGCGAACTTGGTTTGGAATTTTGTGTAAATTCTCAATATATCTTGCTATTAATGGAAACGGAGTGGAAAAAGAAGAAAACTTAAACCAAGACTTGATTCCTTTTTTCCCCTTCACACATACCCTTATCAGCTTAAAACATATTTTAACTCTATTTATGATGTTTAACACTATAAATGAAGTGATAATATCATCAAACAACAGATCCTTATCCCTGTTAAGAGTTACAGAATCTAAGTTGTAGAATTTTTGTCTAAGACAAAAGTGACTTCCCCTCTTGTAAGCCTCCCTTAGTTTAAAGGCAGAAGAAAGGAAACTGATTGCTACTGTGGACAGAGAACAAGGTGTGATTTGGTAAAGAAGAGAAACTTCCTTACATTCTTCCTTAAAAGCTCAGTGTGGGTAAATACGAAGCAGTTGCAGATTTACTGAGGGCTGTATTTGAAGTTCTTGCAATATAAAATATGATGTAAATAAAAAATTTTATATAAAGTCCATTTAAATCAAATAATTAGCTGCAAAGAACAATTATAATAGGATATAAAGCCCTGTCCCTAAAAACTTTTTCCACAAAAGACATCAAATCGCACCACATTCCTCACTGGTTATTTCAATCATTCAAAAAATAAGTTTTTAATTCATATCTTCTTGCCCTTTACTACCAAGCCCTGATGGAGCCGTCAGGATTGGTGTGGTAGGGAGTGGTAAGGAGTTGTAAGGTCTGGGTTATTCTGCAGAGCAGCTGCAACATTTTCCAAGGGCCCAACTACACAAACGGGGTGAGTACCACGAATTACTTCAC